AAATAGTAGATTTGAAATGATAACTGATTACGACAACGTTTTTGGTTTTTTTTAGTAATATTTCTAAATTAAATGACGAGGATCTTTTGAAATGCGGTCGTGCTCTACAGCAAAAGCTAACTGATCAGAAAAAGGAGGAGGCTGACGTAGAAGAAAATTAGTTATTTATTGAGATAAAATCCCTAAGATTGTTCTCATTACCTGAAGCGTCAAATCCCCTCGATATTTTACAATATATATTTGAAAACAATCTAACTTCATCTTTACCAAATATTACCATTTCGTTAAGAATCCTGCTTACTTTACCTGTATCTGTAGCTTCTGGTGAGAGATTCATCTCAAAATTAAAAATAATTAAAAATTATTTGAGGTCTACCATGTCACAAGAAAGATTATCGGGTTTGGCAATCTTAGCTAAAGAGCAAGAGATCCTCGATAAAATTGATTTTGACAATATTATAAAAGAATTTGCAGCAGCCAAATCCAGAAAAAACCTATTTAATTTTTGGATAATTGAATGTTTTATTTGTTTACTGTTTGGTTTGTTTTTGGTGACCTATTATTGAGAGATCAATATAGATTAAGAAATAAAGCTCAATGGTAAGAAACAAGCAGAATTATACCAAATAATCTCTACACTGTTTGAACAAACTAAAATAGATCTCCCTGAATGGAACATCAGCACGATTGCACACTACGTATCTTTAACTAATCCAAAGAAAAAAGAAAAAGCCTTAAAACTCATTAAAAAACTTTCATAAGTAAAATGTTTAACTCTGTTTAGGATAAATCTCTTTTCAAAGCAGAATTTAAGAAGGAATTCTGAAAGATTTGTGAACAGGTGTAATTTAAATTGTCGATTTAGTGTTGTTGGTATTTCAAAAAGAAAGCTATTACATTTTTGAAAGGTTCCTACATTTCCAATATATATATATATATATATATATATATATATATATATATATATATATATATATATATATATATATATATGGGAAAAGCTTTGTAAAACAGATTAAATAAAGATGTTATTAAAGCCATAGTAAGTTTTGAATGAATACGTACAGGATGATTTGTTAAAGCTTAAAGAAAGGAAATATCTAAAAAAAAAATAGTAGTGGATTCCCACAAATTAAGGTGAATAATATGGAGGCTAAATGGCATTTTAAAGGCGACAACACTTATAAGGGACGGCCTTAGAGTTATCAAGGATCTGTCCAAATTTTCTAAACGTGTGTAACTGTAACTGTAACAAGCTACAAAATCGTTTCCAAAAATCCACTGGCTACACATTTTTTAAAAATTATTTTCTACACTTCAAACAGTTTAGCTTTGCATAGAAAAACCGTTTTAAAACAATTAGCTGGCAATTTTAGGTACCTAATTACAGTTTTAATTAAAGCAGTGTTGGTTATTCTTGGTTACTTTCTATAACGTCATTACGCGATTACCATAATATATATAATTTTAATTTATTCAAAGAAGTGAAAAGATTTAATGCATTATTAAAGGAGTTCTAAATAAAGCAAAGTTTGAGCTTTACTATGAATAATTTTCATTATAATACATTGCATAATAAGTGGTTAATATATTTTTATAAAAACATTAAATTGTCGTAAATAGTTTTTGGATGGTATTTAAATTCATTTCATAATTTTGTAACTAAACTACTTCATCGAAAACCAGCATAAAACCTTATTCCAAAATTCTAACATAAAAACTCCTCTGACAATTTCCATCTGACAATATAGTGATTTTTAATCTGACATTTCCTCATCAAAATTTCTAATCAGCATTGGAATTGTCATCTTTCCTTAAGGTACGTGTTGAGAAGACTATCTTCGTTCCACAGAATGCGGTTTTTATGTAATGTCTCTCTCTATTTGATTCGTTACGTGTTGAGTTCGCACATAAGAATCCCTGTCCTGGTCACATTGACGTCAAATACCTTAAGGCCATTCCGAATAACAAACTAACGTCAAAGATACAGAAGAAAAACATGACAGTCAAATGACAGTATAATGACAGTATATATTTAATTTATAATTTATATTAATTGCAAACCCCATAAAAATGATGCAACACTGTTTATAGTGTCCGCAGTCGTTTCCCCTCAATATCCAAATAAACGCTATTGAATGCTAACTCTATGAAATATATAGTAAACATCTCGCATTGCACTAAGACAAACTTCGTCTACATGCAATATGGCTATGATATTCTTTCTTGTTGCACAAACTAGTATTATATCAGTTATCAAATAAAGATTAAAGAAAATAATGTTATCTAAGAGTTCCAATTAAAAATTGTTACGTCCACCTAAGTGAAAAATTATTACGTAAAGTTCAAAAACCATCAGACAACCTTTACATAAGTAAATTTACAAATAGATATTAACACTCCACACCCCATTAATTTCGCGTTGTTACGTTGGTATAACACGATAATACAAATAATATTGTTCGTGATATAATCAATGAATTAACACATTTAGCAAAACAAAATCATTCTTGATGTTTGCCCCTGCGAATAGGTATTGATTAAACTGAAATTATTATCTGTTGATGGGGTATTTACCAGTTGAATAGATTTAGCTGAAAATAGATAAAACAATAAGTTGTCTAAATAATACGAGGGTTACTGGTAAATTTTGAGATACGTCGTTATTAATAAAAATATAAAAATATCGATGGTTTTCGAGAAAAGTGACATAAACAAAATTTCTAAATTTTTGCGTTGAAAACGAAAAAACTTCAATATTTATTAGGTAATTTTAAAGTAATTCCAAGAGATGAAACAAATGGTGTTTTTCTATCCGTCAATTTCTTTCGAGTTAGACTAGTCGACATTATTATTAGCTAAAGTCGGGTATAGGTTAAATTATGCCTTCGGAAAAAATCAAATTAGTAATTATTATGTATTTTAATTTAATGCAAAATATTAAATAAGATATTTATTTACTTTTACTTATAATGGTTTATAAATAATTGAGCACTTATAACATCCACAATCTACACCCTTAAGATTTTTCCGTAAACATTCAATTAAATTTACCAATCTAATTAAATTGAATGTTTCTGTCGTGTTTTTTAATTGAAAACATCATTCCAATGACTTAATTATCAACTCCGACCTAATATGCCATTACCAAAAGCTTCTAAGAGTCGATAATTAAACCTGCTGGATTTACTTTTTCAACGGCGTTTTCCTTTTTAATTGAAAAACATTCTCTTTGATATGTTTTGAGAACAAGATGCTTTAATTCCAACTGAAAAACAAAAGAAAACGTAGACAAGTGTTACCAAGGGCGAGGATTTTACGGTTTTACCCGATACACGGGTATTCTTACAAACTTATTATTAAAATTTGTAGTAATATAATAATAATAATTATTATTATTATTCGTTTTAAGTTGATGAGTTGATGCATTGAAAAATAGTTTTGTCAAAAGTAAAAATAAAAACCGTCTTTCTTAAAAATATAAAAGGTTTTATTTACTATAAAAGTAAAAACAATTATCTTGAACAGGTTGTAGGCCCAGGATATTTTAAGTAAAAGTAAAAATATTGAAAGTAAAAATAATAATAATAATATAGATTTAATTTCATCTGAAATGCGCCTCTGTTACATTTTTAAGAAATTAATATTTGTGAATGAAAACAATTTACAATAAATTGTACTGATGTTTTACGAAGGATATAGTATATTACATTACGAGTGTGGAAAGTGACATTTTTCACACGAGTGGGAAATATTGTCGCACGAGGCGCAAGCCGAGTGCGACTATCACACGAGTGTGGAAAATCACTTTTCACACAAGTGATGTACAATATTTTTCCTACGACCACAAAATAATGTCATCAAAAAAAATGTAAAACCAAGGTTATTATTACTATAATAAGTAAAATGTATTTAAAAAAAATAATCAACAATATTCGTATTTATTTAATTTTCATATTTTCTAAACAAAAAAAAACTAAAAAAAAAATAAAAAAAAACAAACAAAAAATTCTGCTCCGCCAGGATTTGAACCATAGACTGAACGCGGTCGAAAAATGGCAAAGTTGATAAGTCCGATGTCCTAACCAACTGAGCTAATAGCCCTTGTGTCAATTAAATGATCTAATCGGTTATGTATTTAACCAGAATAAAGAGCAAACATTATTTTAAAATTATTTTAATAATAATTGTTAAATATAAATATCTAGGATCTAATTTACAACAATTTCAATAATTTAACAATCATATCGATTTTAGTAGGTATTAATATGGATATTACATAGATTAAAATAGAAATTAGCTGTTTGACATTTTGTGGCAACTACTGCGGAAAGTAACATATTCTCACTCGGGTGGAAAGTAAATTCTTATTCATACGCGTGTGATATAGGGCACTTTCCATAGGACTATATAGTGTGATATGTGTCACTTTCCTAAGTGGTCGTAGAAAAAATAAATTTTACGTATTTGTACACCCTATTGTTTTACGTTAATAATTTCTGTAATACTAAGATCGAAATCATCAGCATTTAGAGTTTTTTGTCAAAAATATTAGAAATAAAACAGGATCTAATACAGTCCCCTGTATTCTGTTTGATAGATACTGTTTACAAGAAGTCCAATACTCTTCTTCGAACACCGTAATTACTTGTTTTATCTGTCTAGTTTACTATGTGAAGCAGTATCGAAGGCCTTAGCAAAGTCCATAAAAAATGCAAGACATGGTATCTTCAATATTATAGTTTTTAATTAAACTAAAATGATTTTTTGAAAGAATATGATGGTCATCTAAAAATGTAATGCCTTTTTAGCGCTTTTTCAGAAGAAGTTAACAATAAAAAAAAAAACAAAATTAGTCATTTTTTCTCAATTTTGTTCTGTCTTTTGGGACTCCAATTCGAAGATTGAACTAAAACAGAATTTTACGTCTCTTCTGAAATAAATAGCTACTAAATTATAAAGGAATGTGCATAATTAAAACGTGTTTTTGTTTGTTTCAGCCCTGGTGCATAGCCCTCCACACCATCCTCTACAGTTGCCTAATATCAAATTATTCTTGGATGTTATGCGAAGGACTTTACCTGCACACCGTCCTGGTGTGGGCCTTCATTTCCCAAAATAATCTCCTAATTGCCGTAATATTAATTGGCTGGGGCATCCCTGTGGTGACAACGCTAATATATGTACCTGTCAGAAGTTTAATGGGAGATGGAGAAGAACTTGCCATGTAAGTAATCTAATTTACTGACTAATAAAGGTTATTTAAGTTCAAAAACGTCATGGAGAAATTCGATATTTTCAATAGAGCAAAAATTATTCTGCTAGAATAATTTTTATTTTTTATTTTTAAACGTTTCTCTTTGCGGTGTATAAATTCGCATTTAATTCGGGGTTTTTCTTTTTTCCTGCAAACCAGGAATATCCTCATTTAATTTTATGTAAAACAGCAGGTGAAATTTCCATATTACGGATTACGATCGTATGCAGAAGTGCAAAAATGTGTTAGAGTTCGAATAAAATGGTAGAAATAATAATAGTCTAAGAGTTAATGTTCAAATAGACTAAAGTGTTTTAACAAAGTTAGGAAAACTTTTACTGTCATGATAAAATTGAATTAATTTATTCATTTGCCCATTTTATGAGCAAAATTTCGTAATAAAATAAGCTCTATTCTTTTATAGATACAAGAAGTTTTAAAAAATCGTTTTTTCATGAATAATCCATAACTGATTCTTTTATATTTGTAAAAAAAAATTAAACTTGGGAAGATTAAAATGTGTAAACTAGTGGCGTCTCGGAGAGTATTCTAAATGATATTTTTAAACTACCTGTATCGTAAAAAAGAGCAATTTAAAGCATATATATCTTTATATAAAATTTTGGTAAAAAATACAAGAAATTTACACCTTCAATATTGGCATGATCTATACTCGGCTAACGGTATTATCGCTTTGTATATTCCATCTTACTTGTACCTATAACTGTAAACATATATTTATCTCTAGCGCACTACGAAACTAACCCGGCTCATAATATTATTACCATAACGACGGAAAACCAATCTCAATTTTTTTTGCAGTTAACTATTGTAGTTCTGACAGATATCCCAAATTGTACGGATCCAACTCATAATTGTAAGCAAAAAAGATCATATTAACACATAAGCATTGATTCGATCAAAAGTCAGAAAGATGTAAAAGTTAGATAACTAATTAAATAACAAAAATATATATCTGATTGTCAGCATACCATCAGTTACATTTTTGAATTAGATGTACGTGTGTTTTATAGCTTCTTGCTTAAATAGTATCTATCCTTGCCTTGGGTATTAAATAAAATCATAAATCCTTGGTGGGAAATGCATAGACGTGATTTAATATCGCGCTGCGCGTTTTATAGCTAAATCTACGTGACGAATATACCGTTTTTAGTGCGACTTATTCCTCAACACAATACGCCGATAGTTTTACTAATAGAGGTGGTTTCAAAATGATACAGTCCGAAAGCTTAATTGTATCAATAATTATTGGATCAACATAATGAGTGAAAAAGAAAATTTAAGCCAGAAAACTCTTTAAAATTTTCTAGTTTACTAGTTTTTAGTAATAATAAATAATGTAACAGTAACATTGATCCGCAATCAGCATATGAAATTTTCTTTAATAAATTAAATACTTACATTAAGACATCATACGATAAAAAAATAGGTAAAAATATAAAAATAGTTAATAAAATAAAGCCCTGGATTACTAATGCTCTTATATTATGTTCTATAAAACATCGAGATAGCTTAAAAAAAAAACTATTAAAAAATTATTCAATCCAAATGCAATATGAATATAAAACGTACAGAAATAAATTAAACTCCTTAATTAAAAAAATGAATTTTATCAAAATAAAATTAGTCATAAATGACATAACAGGAAAAAGAAAAAGTACGAAACAAATTGAAAATATTCATATAGTGCACGAACAGAATGATGAATTCATAAATAATAATAATAATGAAATAAGTAACTTGTTTAACCATTTTATTACAAATCTCGGAATCGATATGGCTACTAAATTAGATGAAATTGACTTACCAAACAATTTTCTGAAATGTGACAAAAACGATAATTCTATATTCTTGGAACCAGTTAATAAAAATGAAGTAATATTACTTATATCTAATTTTCATAGGTTTAGTGTATTAAAGGCCCCACTGCCATAATGGTATTTTTATGTGTATTTTGGAGAACACGAATATATCACTGCTATACCGATGCGATGTCGCTAACGTCAGAATTGATAGCTTTCGCTTGTACCCCACAACTCGGGTGGAAGCAGGAACCACACTTGAAGCAGTCCTATGAAGATATTACTTTTTGTAATATTTGCACTTTTTGGTATTTTTAGAATTGTCGGCGTATTCCCGCGACGACATAACCTCAAGTACATTTCACTGGTTTTTTTCTGTTTTGGTTTTGGGTAGTTTGGTGATTTCCCACTTGTAAAGTTAAGACTAATTATTGAGACATTCATATGTCACATGTTGGCAATCCAAGCGAATATTTTACAAAGTGAAATAAAGTAACTTACCGTTAATAATTGTCTAATTCAGACTAGCTAGTGTATTTCCCAAAAAAGGAAGGTGACATAAGAAGCTAATATAGAACATGTTATAGTTCAATGATTTGTAGAATTGTAGAAGTATTATTTATGCTTTATATTTATTATAATCTGTTTTAGCTGTTTTGATTATAGTCTATTATAGCATATTGCTCACCTTTAATGAATATTCATTTTGTTGTCATGATTGGTTTGTATGTTTCCGAGTTTTCTTGATTCAAGTAGGAATTAGAACGTGCTGCTGTTATCACTTTCTAATTACTACTTTTACGCTTTTTTTAAATACATTTTTGAAATGATTGTCAATAAACTTTTTTTAGAATTAAATCTAATAAACACTCATAGACGACAACTGGCCAACTGAATATGACTTTGCAACGCGTTGGAGGATTAACCGGTAGCTTTATTACATTTTGTATCGATCGGTAAAGGTAAAGGTGGATACCGCAAACTTCATTAATAGGTTTCACAATTTCAGGTAGTCGATATACCTGCGTGGCGTTATGCTAATTCTAAAATTTTCATTACATATAACACAATGTGTATTCTGTGGTTAAAATCAATGCAGAGATGCTTACCCACTGCAACTAAATTAAAGTAAATTTGTGAATTGTATGCAGCTTCAAACCAATTTCAAATTAACTCTGTTCAATCTAATATTATCTAAGATGAAGCGATGACAGACACTCTACCACAGCTGTTGTTAAATGAAGCGACAAACTATTGCCCAAGATTAACAAGATAATGCAATACACTCTACAAGAAAGTTAAATATAAAATAATTTAATTTTGAGATTTCCATTTTAGTTTGATAGATATATCTGGCGATGTTTTGTTCAAATAAATGTATGGGTTACACTTACTTTATCAAACCATTTTGTCGATTTAATATTAAACTGTTTTTTTTCTGTATATAGCAGCTCGAAATTGTATAATCGATGATGCTAAATTAAGGTAAATAATATTAATTCCTTTTCCTTTAGGAATGTATAGAAATGTATAGGAATGTATAGGAATGTATAGGAATGTATAGGAATGTATAGGAATGTATAGGAATGTATAGGAATGTATAAAAATGTATAAAAATGTGTAGGAATGTATAGGAATATATAGGAATGTATAGGAATGTATAGGAATGTATAGGAATGTATAGGAATGTATAGGAATGTATAGGAATGTATAGGAATGTATAGGAATGTATAGGAATGTATAGGAATGTATAGAAATGTATAGGAATGTATAGGAATGTATAGGAATGTATAGGAATGTATAGGAATGTATAGGAATGTATAGGAATGTATAGGAATGTATAGGAATGTATAGGAATGTATAGGAATGTATAGGAATGAATAGGAATGTATAGGAATGTATAGGAATGTATAGGAATGTATAGGAATGTATAGGAATGTATAGGAATGTATAGGAATGTATAGGAATGTATAGGAATGTATAGGAATGTATAGGAATGTATAGGAATGTATAGGAATGTATAGGAATGTATAGGAATGTATAGGAATGTATAGGAATGTATAGGAACGCATAGGAATGTATAGGAATGTATAGGAATGTATAGGAATGTATAGGAATGTATAGAAATGTATAGGAATGTATAGGAATGTATAGGAATGTATAGGAATGTATAGGAATGTATAGGAATGTATAGGAATGTATAGGAATGTATAGGAATGTATAGGAATGTATAGGAATGTATAGGAATGTATAGGAATGTATAGGAATGTATAGGAATGTATAGGAATGTATAGGAATGTATAGGAATGTATAGGAATGTATAGGAATGTATAGGAATGTATAGGAATGTATAGGAATGTATAGGAATGTATAGGAATGTATAGGAATGTATAGGAATGTATAGGAATGTATAGAAATGTATGCGAATGTATATTAATGTATAGGAATGTATGAGAATATATATTAATGTATAGGAATGTATGAGAATGTATATAAATGTATAGAAATTAATAGTAATATGTACGATCACAAATTATACAAAATAAGAAAGAAAAAGATACGAAATTTAATATGGCTATAACATAAAAACTACTAAGAACTATTTATAATACTTAATAGGCGCCAACATTTTTCCATACAACCCAAACGCACTAATATGATAATCCTAGAGCTATTATTGTAGGGTAACTCTTTTTTAATAGAATTTTTTACTCTTTTCAAAGCGTATGTCATATTTTTTTATTTTTTTTAAATTTATTTATTAGATAATTTACGGGCTAATGCCCATTAAAATAGCTACAAGAAATATTTTTTTAATTATCATAGATACCATACATATATTTAATAAAAAATAAAATCACTCATGATACAAGACATACATCTTATAAATTGTTTATACAATTAAGTATTGGGAATCTTTTTGAAACGACCTCTAGTGCTGAAACCATCGAGGGTGCTCAGGAATAACTAAAATTGTACATTCGTCACGTAGATTTCGTTATAAAATACGCAGCACAATATTAACTCACATCTACAGTTATATCTGATGCATTTCCCACCGAGGATTTATAATTTAATTTAATATCCACGTCAAGGATACTAAGGATAGATACTGTTTGAGCTGAAAGCTATAAAGCGAGTTTCTGC